TTAACTGAATTTCGGAAACTAATCTACTTTGTTACAGCGGTATAGCTTCTTATTCTTCTTACTACTTCGACCCACAACACCCTATTAGCATTGTTCATACTGATGAAGAGATAATTATAATCAGCGCTATATCCTGACTAAGTACGAGTTAATCAAAATGCTCATCAGCCGTTCGTTCACACTAATAGCCGAGAGGTCGTAGTTTTGATTCGAAACACCCTCGAGTTTCGTGAGATGCTCACTGTTGATGAATTCCGGCAAGAACGAAATAGCTATACAGTGTCTCTCTGCCTTTCACTTACAAAATGAAATCCAACGTGAAAATATATCCAAATCCAGTGAACAACTCAGCGATCAGAGCTTCACAGTATTCCAGACAGTAAATAACCGACCCAGGTCGGAATTTGTCACTCCACTGTCGAAATTGATCACGGGAGAACACATGAACGCGGGTAACAGAATCAACTTGTTGCCACATGCTCAGACACAGAAATTAACGTTTCCTCTAGCTGTAGAATACAGACACTCTTTTGGTTAGCTTGTAAGAATAAGTAAGGTTGAGGACAACTGCTCCGACAAACGTTAAGCCACAAGTCGCTTTCTTGCTTACTTTACGATCAGAGTTACTTTGGACTGGACCGAAAGTCTTTTTTGAAATGAGGGTACTTGTTTAAAACATTGAAAAAGCCCATGAACTTATTATGATGGGCAGTTACCAGAAAAACTGATTTTAACTACCTCTGTCACCTCAGTGTTCGCTATAAGGCTCCGTAACTAGTTATCATTTTTCACTCTGGTCACTGAGAAAAATGACCGGAAGAAAGATCATTTTCCCACAAAACTTGTCAAGATAACCACCCTGTTTTTTTAATTACTCTGTCAAATAAGGACGGATTTTTTGACCTCACAAAGTGCATTTGGGCATACTAAAGCTGTTGGAAGGAATAATTCGTTAGACGGACTCGCATAGATCTGGGCTAAACAAGCGAGTCTCCAAGTAAAGCTCAACTGTTTGTGGTAAACTATAATTTCGTAAGGGAGTTGCTGGAACTGAGTCCTGTTAATGATCTAGAAGCACAGTGAACTGTTATCGGGTTTGCGCGTCACTGGAGAGTCAAGATAACCCTTGAAATGGTACCCCCAAAGTGGGATACCGAAATTCGAAGTGTGATGTCGTCTGTAATGTGAAAGTGACCTTACTTAGAAGGCAGCGCTCTGAATCGTGCCTGTCTTGGAGCACCTTTGTAGACCTCTTCCAGCGGGTAGTCTATATTCCAATAAGTCACTATTCAAGGGGGTTCTGCAATACAGTGGAGCTTTGATGATTATCTGTGGTGCAATAGTCCTGTGGTTGACGAGCTCACTGTTTCTCTTTTGGACTATCATCTTCCCTATTCTTGACAGATCGTCAGACCGTACTCAAGCTTTTCTGTTAAAACGGTTTCGATCAAATTATTATTGCTTAACTGGACTTCGATTCGGACCATACTACCGACATCTAGTTTATACATTCTGGCTTGAACCAAGCCGTCACGGAAGCATTCAGAGAGTCCCATCAGACAGCTGTCGACCTCGATACTTTATGCCCTCCAACGATATAATTATCATTCATACAATGAGACCTGCCAACTTAACAGTCAGGTGCACAACGTTTCTCATGCTTGTTGACACGTCTAGTCAGTAAGTCGGTTGGCGCCACACGTGAATGTGACTGTTGGTATGCCCGTTCACCAAAATTGCGCTGAGTCATACCCTCCCATCGGAATGACTCACTCTTGTTTGCGTGACACACTTTAGCACCTACTAGGCTGTCGATATCCCCAAAAGTCTACGCAGGCTGTCTGCTTGCCCACCAATGTTGGGGTACTGAACTTAGGCGCTTGGTTATAAAACATTTTCCCCTCTTGATGTTACAAAGATGTAGGCGATGGCTGTCAAAATATCACTGGATTTTTCTGACACAACACTACTTATAAACACACCGACGGTTTCGCCCTTCTTGAAAGTATTACGCCTCTAGATTCAAAGTCAAATAAGGCAAACACGTGCCACCTGTCTAGGGTCAGTTCACAGCTGGTCACATTTTGCAAATTTGTGTAAGCTTATCAACAGCCTTACATTAGTACTGTCTGAAGTGATATTAAGCCCCAAGTTCTTCGTCACGTCACCACAGGGTTCTTCTCGAACAAATTGGCGAAGACAGTAAGTAATGCCTCTCGCCATATGAATAAACAGAAAAACTTCTGGGTACGTAGACAAAGCAAACGGTAGGGCGTGGTGATTTCATACATGTGTGTATGCGCAGTCCAGACCACAACGAATGCATGTTTGTGGCTGGACCACAGGCGCTGGACGCAGCGGCCTCAGGACACAGCGGCACGCGACCGTGGGGAACCAACAGCTGGGAGGGGGAAAGCATGTGCAAACTGTACTGGCCCTTCCAAAACAATTCAAATATGCACAACAGGTGTCTTTCAAAATTTTCAACGTGTGTAGGAAATATGTATTACTACAATCGATAAGGTAGTACTTCATGACAGAAAACAAGGAAGTTGTCAAGTGGAAGTCATGAGAAAAAGGAAAGTAGCGAATAAAGCTGGTTTTCCGGGAACATCCCTCTCGCAAATTTATAAGGTACCAAAACATGTGAAGATGTCATGCGAAAATCAGGGGTGCATGCTCTTTAGTGAAAGAACTAGGGGAATAGAGAGAACACGGGTTGAATGAGAGGTCAATGAGCCATAGAATAAAGTAATTGACGTCAATGTATTTACCCTTGATTTTCACGTAAACCTTTCCAATTGATTGATGGTACCATATAATTTTGTGATGTGGCAGCCAAGAGGAAAAAGCAAAGGGAGCCAGCTTTTTTCACTGTCTCCTTTCTTATAAAGAAACAACTTGTCTGACTATCCTGGACTAGTTTGATTTGAGTTTCCATGCTACTAAGGTTCCAGGCACTGCAAGAGATTGCAAGTTTGAAAATGGTGGTAAAAACAAACACCTGGTTAGCTCTCCCGGATCCTGTTTAATGTGTCAGTGTAACCCATAGTTTGTAATACCCCGTCTTAATCGAGAGCATCAAATGGTCAAGTGGAATCTAAGCCAATTATTTGAGTCCAGATTTTTATTGAACTCTGAAGCACCGTTTTTGGTTGCAGACCACCATTTCAATAACTGACTACAAACAACAGAGAACCTAGTTGTATAATGTGGAAGGAGAGAAAAGCTGTTTTGACGCTTCCGAGTGAGATCTGCAACTGAACCGTGAGCGCCTACTTAATAGATACAAGCGGGACTAGAGGTAATAGACTGAGTGTGCGTCAGATGTACACCATGGCTAATATATTCAAACGAAGAAAGCGATCAGTTGTTTCGTACTAAGCGACAGACGAAAAAATAGAGCTCAGTGGCTTGATTTGTACTCTTCTAACACGAGCATGAATGGAGCAAGGGAAGACGCATAATCTGGTACTCATCTGACCCAATCCGAAGACCAAATTCTTTGTAAGTGAAACACGAAAACTTCACAAAATCCCACATTCCCAACTGGTCAAATTCGTCTCACGACGGTATTGTCCTGCATTCCTTTTACAACATGCGTTTGTCCTGTCATCGGCTAGCCTAAACCATGCTGAGTGAGGTATTGAACACAAGACGGAACAAACAAACAAAGCTCATCAAATCTCTTCTCGACCGCGAATTTCGTGTCCACTGCATTTTCAGCTCCAATTACCGTAATAATCCCGTGACCCTTTAAAGTGCCCTGGCTTGTACCTCATCGAGTCAAAGTGGGCAACGAGTAGCTGATAGAGTGTGAAGACATGGGGACCGGACCGTAGGTTTTGAGCAGCATAAAACCGTGGTGAGTAGCTCCACGGGCAACAACTTATGGACTCACTTCTGGGGTATACTACTGAAGCTTTTTGAGTAGCGAGAATATGGAAGAGAAGACTGCTAGTCCACGCACCTCAGGTGCGGTTAGGGTGTGCGCTGAGGTTGGTAATGTTGGTAACGTTTATTCACGGCTTCAGCTGACACTATCATCGTATATTTTGGTAACACTGCACTCTGCACTGTTGTGTGCGAGTTGATCAGTGTTGTACTCGTGTTCATTAACGTGCCTTTGGCCTATAGAGACTTTCGACTCCTCACCGGAATCAAAATCTTCAAACTTTATTATGTCTTGGGCTACTGGCAAGTAGACTGATTTCCCTATGTGTTTCAACACTGTTGTTCACTTTATCCTGTTCTATCCAATACGGAGATCGACTGCTGGTTTGTGTGGCGAATAGTTTAATGCTTGCTTAGATTTGTCTTTCATCGCTACCGGACCTATGTATGTGTTTTCACTACTGTTGGTGTTTGCCCTCGTTTTGACTTGATGCCCCCAGTAGGGGGAAGCTGGTCTTGCCGGGACTCTAAAGAGGACCACTAGGAGGGATTTCAGGACTCTGTCCACGCCACGTGTGTCCAAGGTCACTCAAGTCACTACGTGTCCTAGGTTGTTGTGCCTAGGGTTTGTCGAAAGTCATTCAGCTATGCGTTTTACTTCCTGTTGGCCCGCATCTATGGTTGCGGTTAGTGCAACACAAGCCCAATACATGTGTGACGGGGTGCGATATGGCACAGGTTGAGACTGACGTGATTCTGCGCAGTATGGTCCTCCTAGCTGCTCTTTGTTTGTTGTTTACTGTTTCTTACATGCTCACTCGCCTCTCACGGACGTTTTCCGTTTTGCTTATTCCGTAAGCTCATTTAATTCACCAAACTATTACTTACCGTGGTTGTCAACCAGAGGTTTTCATAGTTGCTATTACAACTGTCCCGCTAAAGACAGCAATATTTCCGTTCAGAATCATCTTTTACTTCAAACCCAATGCGTTTTTGTACCGAATCCTTGATTGTACACCTCACCGGGATCCCAAGTGAATCCGAGGCAATTCCACCGTATGAAGAAATTCTCATCCATCCTTTTTATCATTCACGCTCTCTCAGGTACACCAGTTCTATCCCTTGGTGGAGATAAACTGCTCTGAGGATCTGCGCCTGTTTCTGTGCAGTATGTATACGCCCATTTGTGTGCCGAACTGGCCCTACCGGCTGACCCCGTGCCGATCACTGTGTGAGAGTGCTCGAGATGGTTGTATGCCTGTCATGGGAACCTACGGCTTCGGTTGGCCCGAACGAATGAATTGTGACCTGCTACCAGAAGGGGTGAGTTGATCATCCTTGTTTATCCGCTATTAGACCGATGACATTAATCAGATGAACGATGTTAAGTTCACTCTCGGTTTTAAACTGTCCAAAATGCCACAAGTATTTCTCCGTCCTCTGTATCAATAATAGCAACCAGAAGTCGAAGTCTTTGGTCCCACGCAACACAAAAACGCCTTAGTGTTTCTAAGCGGAATTAATATCCTAACCAGTATGATGGGTGCAACAAAATGTACCATGGTCTTCCAGTATTGAATATGAAGTCACTTATAGTATCCTTACAGCTCCTTTCGTGTGGTGTCGTGTGAAATTTTGCTGCTATTAGAGAAGCTTCGGTGATAAAAAACCGCGCATACAGATACCTCTTACTTCTCAAGCCAATCGTACTTTAGAGTACGTCAGTTCTTTTAGGTCTATGCATTCTTGTTCACAGAATTCCGTAAAAACCGTAAAAAACAAGCGCAATGATAAAGTAGGATGTTGATACAAATCACACTGACTGCGTATGCATAAATGTCTTGTGCCTCACGTATGCTGGCCAATAGACAGAAAACTATCGGTCGCAGTCAGTCGCTCTGTCATACCATAGCAACATAACATGCTTAAAAACGGACACCCAAGTCTGATATCCACCACCGGATTTTTTTTGAAAACAGTAGCTCAATAACTTGAACTGACGAGACATCCTGTTCCCAAAACCTGTCTAGCTGACAGACACGCTGCTGTCATGAGAAGCATGACTGCCTTCAGCATTCTAATCACCCTACCTGGAACCAACAGACATTAGAAGCCAGACATCTGAGTGAGCTGCGCTGTCTTTCGTCCTAATGTACTAACCGGTCCATCAGCCCGGAATACTTGAATGGATTTGGGAAAAGACGTTTGTTATGCCTGTGGATCACCCCACTCGTTTAAAACATGCTACAAATTCCAGACTTTTCGGGCTCGTTGTAGGTCCTACGATGATTAAACTCTGCAGCAGGTACCTAAAATAGTCTATTTCTAACTACTCTATCGAAAACCAGGCACTTGAATTGCCAACCGCTATTTGACTCCACGTCTTGAGAAGTAAAATTGCACCAGCTAATTCAGGCTGACTTGAGATACCGTCAAGTGAGCACATATAGGTTAAGGTTTTATTTTTTGGACTACTAAGAAAGAACGTAATTCGCTGGTAGTATGAATGGATGTAGAAGTAGCTCAGAGGAAAAGTAATCTCCCAAGATGGGTGAAAATTCCAGCTTACCTGTCGTCAATAGAGGACTCAGTCAGCACATGACCACGTGACCAGACAGTGTGCTTTCGGTGACTGAGGGATGAGTGGCACCATATCCTGTCACAGTGCTGATCAGCCGCTCGTAACCAAACGGTAAAGTATCGAAACTATTAGCCAGGAGGTTGCGGGTTCGGTTCGAAACTCCAGGAAATTTGTGATATGTGCACTGCTGATGAATCCTACTAAAAACGAAACAGCTTGGCAGTCTTTGTTGGCTTTTCAGGATAAGTGGGCTTCACTTGCAGGAAGAAACATCTATTGAAAAACAGGATTTGCTAAACCAGTTCTAATCTGACTGTACATACCTGGTATGGTTATAGAATTGCGTATATTCCTGTATGCAATCATGCCGGGTTTAGGGATATGACTGATTCGAAGAAGGCCTTCCGCTAACCTGTTGCGCTGGAAGTATACGATTTAATAAGGTGTCTTATGGCGGTCAGATGGGATGAGCAGGTAGTATGCTATATTCAGACACGCCAGACGCATGCCTCAACTGATCGTTCCAAACCAGTGCATGCGGTTCGTCTCCTTTTCCTCCCCAAGGTACTTTCACTGCAGGACGGTGTAAAGCAAGCTTTGCTCTTAATGGGCACAATTATTGAAAATGAGTTTTGATGCATATAAACTTTGTCTAGCTGAATTTTCGCAGATGGACCTTCCTCAATGGTACTGCGTACCAAATGCTTTTGCTTACTGTCCGATAGCCCCCTTCATCTATGGCGCTGTTACCAAAAGTAAACCAGTACAACTGGCTATCCGCATGCGACAATCAGGAAAATCTCTACGCACATTTTCTGCATACAAAAGTCTTATCCTGTCAAGTGGCATCAATTAGAAGCAGTTGGTTTTTTGCTTGCTGTGAGTATTAATTGTTAAAGGTCTGAAGGAAATCACCTTCGACTAGACTTTTAAAAAAATGGATTTTTGCAGTCTAGCCAAACAAGTGGCTATCGGGTATACACTCATTTGCAAACTAATTTGGCTCTTTCGAGAGACTCACCTGGAACCCAGCTGAATCTCTCGTTTATGATGTTCTCAGGAAACCCGGGGACTGCGCCTACCTGATGCGCCCCAAGAAGGGCGAAACCGGTCGTGGGCTGTCGATGGGTTTTCAGTAGTACATTGAGTAGTACATTACCAAGAATTGGCTGTCGGATTTAACGAAACATAACAATTGCTCATTACTTGACACTGAGCTGACTTCTAAAGAGTTTGGCCTAGGTTATCTGGTTCATTATATCCAATTCAGTAACATCAAGCGATCAAACTCTATCAGCTCTAGATACACCAGNTATACACTCATCTGCAAACTAATTTGGTTCTTTCGAGAGACTCACCTGGAACCCAGCTGAATCTCTCGTTTATGATGTTCTCAGGAAACCCGGGGACTGCGCCTACCTGATGCGCCCCAAGAAGGGCGAAACCGGTCGTGGGCTGTCGATGGGTTTTCAGTAGTACATTGAGTAGTACATTACAAAGAATTGGCTGTCGGATTTAACGAAACATAACAATTGCTCATTACTTGACACTGAGCTGACTTCTAAAGAGTTTGGCCTAGGTTATCTGGTTCATTATATCCAATTCAGTAACATCAAGCGATCAAACTCTATCAGCTCTAGATACACCAGCTACATTCAGTGGAAGTGACCGGTTTTCTATTCTGGGGATTGAGTTCATCTGACACAGTCATGTGAATCAATTCAGTCAGCGATTAATCCACAATCGCGTTATGACGGATGGTGAAACCACGTGTAAAAATCGCAAAAAACAAACACATCAGTCAACTGAGGTCTAAATCTGACCACTCCTGAAAATTTACACATTACAGGACCCAGCAAGTACAACTAAACCCTGAAGTGCAAAGTACGATGATGCACCCTTAGATGTCTGATTCGATCAGCAGTGATCTTGAAAGCTAAACCAGTATTAAATTAACAAGACCGTGTGTCATGTCTTCACCAAAAAACTGGAAAGGCTTCAGTTATCCACGTATGCACAATCATTGGCTAAACAGCAATGTAGTCCTTATCTCTTCGCTTTCGTTTCCTGCTACTAGCTCGCGTCTGCTGAGCTCCTTTGTTCACTCACAACGTTAATTTGACAGCGGTAGGTGGAACCTGGGACTACGCAGCTTTATATATGTTTTTATATACATGTATATATATTGAACTTTTTGCTTATGTCCTGTATTTAGAATAAGGATGTAAACCAAGAGGCATTTCATTCTGGAGGGAATGAGGTAGACAATTTTCATACGATGGGATTTTTGTGTTCCGTAAGCTTCCTCCATATTGACGGTGCCGGTCACCATGGTCCTTTCGAGCAAAAAATTCTGATAAAAAGTGTAGAATGCGTTGCTGATTTTATCTGGCATTTGGAATCCACACCAGCTAAACTATCCCAGTGATGTAAGATCTGCCGCAATACTCTCTCCTTTTAAAGATCCTTCGAAACCCGGACTCAATACTGGTGTACGGACGATAAACTTGCCCGTAGCCTGTAGACTGTATATCTGCACCCGCGACCAATAAATGTGGACATCTCGCTAGCTTAAGTGAATTATCCTCTCTTTTTTCAGGGTTATAGTTTCGTGGGATTCTGTAAGACCCCTTTGTTTAATATGGTTTGCTTTGCCCGTGACATACTCGGGGAAGATTGAAACAAGCTTTTAACCAGGTTTCTGAAACCTGCGTTCTTTCCACAATCTTTCCACCCACCTAAAAAACTGCCTCCGAATAGCTGTTCTTATGTTACCGTTTAACTCTTTGCTTCTTGAATATATCACTTCTCAATATTGCCAAAATTGGGTCGTTCTAGATTTCCATTGTTTTGTAGACCTTGCTCGGATAGCTCTCTTAGTGGCTGAACAGGCATTCCACATTCTGCTACTTTCTAATTCAAGGCGGAAAAGTGCACCGCATCGCTGGTCACATGAGTAAGCTTCGTTTCGGAAGCTAAAAATATCAAATTCTTCAGTGTGTTTCTGGCCTTGGTTGGAATGATTGAAACCTCCTCGTCGCCGTCGGTTACAAAGGAAAAGGTAATGCGACGGAAACTAGAATTATTTCCTTGCCTCAGTGATCCACACCAGAGGAATGAACGGTAAAATCAAGTATGGTTTCGAGGCAGAAGCTTCTGTAAACACACAGGCATTAACGGCCATACCAGCACTTATTGTGCTTCAGGTTGGAAGTTGCTCAGCTTTTCTGCCCATTTTTGGAGATTTAAGCATCTCACTGTGAAATCAGTATGACCAAGACAAAGTGGTCCCTTCTTAAGAAGGCTTCTATTGTTGATCAATATTTCAGGCCCTACAAATTAATTGTGGATTCACTGCATGTTCAGAGTTATTTACTGAAGGGCTAAGTTGGCTGAAATTATAAAGGTAGATGGTAGAACCATGGTTGATTGCACTACTAGGCTGACTTATCGAGGCTGGCTGGGTTTTCCGTATACCCGGACTCGAATTGTATTTTTGCTGGGTAAATCATGAATTACGGTTGTTATGCTTGTTAAAGCTGGTGTTTCTGTTTTGTTTTATATTACCCGTAGGTGGTGCGAGAAAACGCCTAGTTATTTTGGTTGAAGCAGTTGACTGAAGTGCACTGTGGACCCGCCTTGGCATGCCTCAAAAACGGTAGTGCACAGTAATGCGCGTTGATTAGTATGACAAGGTTTCATTACATCAGCAGTGAAAATAATTAACTGGAGTGTTGTGCTGAGTAGCATCCAGATACTCGTAGAAGAACGAGCTACCGGCATCCATGTGTACGCCGCGTAGTTTTTTCCACAGAATTTGTAGTCTGACAGCGATATGAGGAGATTTCAGAACTTTAGTAGCTTTCGTCTTTTGAATGGAGCTCGTATTTGCTGAAGAGCCCCGAAGCGCTGGATTCTGGTTTAGTTTAACTAGCAGGACGTATCTTACATATCTGTAGGGAGTTTCGAACCCATGAATTACTGACTAAACTAAACCTTTAGGCCACAACCGGTTGATCAGCAGTGTGATTTATCTGTACAGGGTTCATTCTCAACAGGAAATTCCGTTTGGAATTTCAAAATCTGTTTTCACTAATACAGGTCAAAAAGAAAAACATTTCACCCAATCAATTTCGAACTTGTGGTGTACCCTCGTTTGAAGACGAAAGGTTAATTGCTCAGCTCGGCGAACAGAACAACAGCCGAAATCTAACGAATTGTACGTACCTTCAGTTTAAGAATTCGTGTCTCGAGAAGTTAGTCAACACGTGACTTGTTGTCAGTCATCAGTGACCAAACTGTATAGTTTTCAGTCATGGGCAAGGAGGTGGCAGGTTCAAATCGCACAGCTGGTGGTTCACCACAGGGATAAAACAGCTCTGCAACGTTTTTGGGCTTCAGCTTCTAATTCCCTAGCTGGGAGTCACCACTGCGTGCAAGAGAACGAGCGAAATAATCCCGTTTCAGGTTGGTTGTACGAATGATGCCGCTTAGAGCATATGGCTCAATGATTTCGCATTGACATACGTGGATTTCTTGTCCTTTAGCTTCGCGTTTCTATTCTTTCTAACTTAAATGACTTTATCACCATGTTCTCCTCTTTATCTAGAGCGAATGCGTTAGTCGGCGCAATTCGACAGTCCCTTCCGGGAAAAAAATACCATCAAGTCGAATTAATTCAAACGAGGCCGACAAATCGTCGCGTGTTCACGGCAAAAAAACAAACACAACCATCAGTCTTGTACAGGATATCCTGACTCTACTGAGAGATCGATATCAATCACAAGGATGGAAGGTCGGTTGGGATCAGAACAATGACTTAGAGGATTTAAAACAAAGCATGGTACAAATAATGAAAAGTACTGAGGGACGTTCGGAAGGACAACAAGTATTTTGTCTTCCTTGCCGATGTCGGGATCCCTTTGTTCCTGCTCACAAACCTCCATACAATGAAGTTGTTACAGGTGGAGTAACTGGCTGTCTTCCCTCCTGTCGGAATCCGGCATTCAATAGTAAATCGGACCGAACCTTTACAACATTCTGGCTTGGACTTTGGGCTGTTCTATGTATCTTATCTACAATGGCCACGGTTGCAACATTTTTGGCAGACCCAGGACGTTTCCAGTATCCAGAACGTCCCATCATCTATCTCTCAGCCTGCTACCTGATGGTCGCTCTAGGCTATCTTATACGCGTCGGCATGGGACATGAATCAATCGCCTGTGACGGTCCAGTGCTGCGAAGGGGATCAACTGGGCCGGCACAATGCAGTATTGTGTTTCTTCTGACCTATGTCTTTGGAATGGCTTCGTCCGTGTGGTGGGTGATACTGACATTGACTTGGTTCCTGGCAGCCGGATTGAAGTGGGGCAGCGAGGCGATTGCCAAATATTCACAGGTCAGTGTTACTTCCACTACTCAGAAGAAAACAGTAGTTAGACGTTATAGAAAAAGGAAAGCCTTCGGTGAGCTGGTCATTCGCCACGCTGTACGGTGTCCCGTGTAGTCCCGACGGTGTTATGGCGTGGGTCCTTAAAAACTACCTATACCTCTGTCATAGAAATAGAAACCGTAAGCAGCTGAATGGAAGGAAGTCGGACGCGTAAATTCGCACCACTTTGGTGGGATATCTCTTACCAGTTGTGCTTAAATTCGTAGGGAGAGCAGAATACTATGAACGTAGGGTCCATTAAGTGTATTGTGTGTTGACAGCCCAGGTGTCTAGTTTAATTGGACTGTTATTAAGTGTGATCTGAAAGAATGATTCTGGAATGCAGTAGCTAACCACCTACCTAAGTTTTATAACTTACGGCCGCTCCATTTCGGAAAAGAGTCAAATCAAATGATACTCCGAATCAGTGGTGCTACAGAACAGTAATCAAACCAAATACTGGATAAATCGTTGGAGGGAAGAAACAGAAACATTGTCTCTGGCCAAAAGTCCATGTCTTCGCTTGATGTGAGTTGGTTATGGAGTCAAATGGCCTAAAGCGATTTTTCATTACTCCTAATTGGAGCGTCAATTCTTGAGTTTTCAGGTAGCTTGTCAAGACCCCTCACGCTAAGGCGAAAGCGTACCTTGCCATCTGCAAGGACAGAAACATTTGTTTCTAATGATAATCAGGAAAGTGATTTTGTTAGGCTCATATTGTTATTTTTATCTTGAATCTCAAATTATAAACCGTATTATACGTAACACGTTCCGAGCATAGAAAAGAGCTACTATCACTGGATTCTGTGAAGGGTCGGATCTCATAGTAGTGCAGCTGCCTGTATAATTCGTCAGTACGCTGAGCTTTACTAAGAGGTACCCGTCCAGCGCCTACATATGGGAGTCTGACGAACGCGGCTACTCGACCCTACAATCCTGGGTTTAGGATGTAGGCGGTTCACCATAATCCGAACCAACCGCCCGATGCCCAACGCTTTGACTTTACGGTACGGTTTTGGTACCAGGAGATTCGATTGATGGCATTAAGGTTTAAGATGCAGATGTGGTAAACAAGACCCTGCAGAACGTTGAGTTGAGATTTCTGTCTGTATAACATAGAGGCGTCAGCTGATGGTGACGGTGGTGATCATCGTGATAATCATAAGGATTGCTACGACAGCTGGGAGGACTGCTTATCCTTGCGACTCAATGCCGCGCTTATACCTGACTCACTGCTACCCATGCCTGACTTTCTAAAAACAATCACCTGGAGCTGATGATTTCTGTGTTGGGCATTCGGTGGTATGGGTGTTTGACATATCAAGTGGGTGGTATCTTCGTGAGAAGTACTGTACTCAGAAGACACTTGCACATAGGGTTCTGTAGCTGAACATCCCGTATACTGCCTAACCAAAAGACGCTGTGAACCACACAAGAATGCTTGGTAAACAGTGCTGTATGTTCTTCGCTAACAAGAGGGATGTGTCACATTCGGTTGGGTTACCCAACGATTATTAATTAGGCTGGGGAAAGGAGGCACTTGTTTGGTGAATGGTTAGAGTAACCCATCGTATCAAATTCTAGATCTTGTCGTCAACCTTTTATTTAGTTTAACGATGTCTCTTCAGATCTGTGTAAGAGGATATATTCCACTGGTTTCTGCTAAAATCAAGGAATGGATCTATCTCTAAAGCCGGCACCTTTAAATTACCAAAACAATGTTCGAGGAGGTTTTTCTCGCATACTTTAGGAATGTTGATCTCAGATCTTGTCGTCTACTGAATGATACCTGGCATCCTGAACAGTACATCTTGGAGACTTTATACTCCTTTCCGTAACAGGAAACTTGCCATTGCAAATTAGCGCAGAAGACATCACACCGTGCCTTCAGTTTTGTCTGGACTCCTTTTGGCCGGTTTCGTTCAGCTACCATCGTCTGCGATCAATAGGTGCAAATGTTGCGCTGTTACACGTTCACATTACATCTTATCTATTTCTTTCTCTCACCTACAGCTATATCATTTCCTGGCCTGGTTTTTCCCCGGTGCACAAGCCATTTTCGTTCTCATCTTGTCTGCAATTGACGGAGATCCTGTTGGTGGATTGTGCTACGTCGGATCAACAGATTTGAACTTCTTTCGCGTCTTTGTGCTGGCTCCCATGTGTGTGTATTTGACGCTAGGAACGATATTTCTCATTGCAGGTTTTGTGGCCTTGTTCAAAATTCGAAGTGCGATAAAACTACAAACTCGTGGGCATTTGAAAACCGACAAACTGGAAAAGTTGATGATTCGGATCGGCATCTTCGGAGTTCTCTACACCGTGCCTGCCACAGTAGTTATCGGATGTATTTGTTACGAGCTGATCAGTCGAGAAGCTTGGAACCGTAACCACAATTGTCCGTGTTATCCTTTGCCTCCGGTGGACGGCTCTTGGAAGGATGGAGAACTGTTTATGCAAAAACTTCGATTGTTGATGGAAACTTCTGCAAATAGTAAAGAGAGCACTCAGCTGGATAAGTCCTCCTCAATCAGCACTATGGGCCATCCAACTAGCGCTACGTTTTCAACAACAAAGCAACCCGAGCATGCCGTTTTTATGCTCAAATATTTCATGTCTCTCGTAGTTGGAATTACCTCCGGGTTTTGGATCTGGTCTAGTAAGACGTTAGATTCGTGGAAATTTTGTCTTCGGAGAACTTTAAACAGATCGTGTACGTCTAAAAATAAGCGCTCCTTAAGTGGGACCTTTCCATCGGCTCTAGTCAATATCGGAAACATGGTCCCGAATAAAGCTACGCCTCAAAATTGGAACCCGGCTCATGGCAAAATGTGGATGGGAAGTGCTATGAAACCAATGGGGATCAACAACAGTGCTGTCGGTACCAACAGCTGTTCCACCTGGCAGGACGATTTCGGTCCGACCGCGAGATTGTTACCACAACCCCCGCAAGTGGTCGGCATGAGCTGTAATCATCCCATGGGATTGCACCTGGGGTTCAATGGGATGGTTCCTGGTTCTGGTGGTTCGCTTTCTGTCCCGGGTCAGACGACATCAGTAATGACTGGTCTGCAAACGAACTCCGGGTCGTACGCAGGAGGTCCAATGGATGGAACCGGAATGAATTCCGGCAGTGCTTCAGGCATGACTGCGCACACGAATTCAGAGGCGAACAACAATTTGTTGATGATGACCACAACCCAGATGACACATATGTAGGAACACGCAGGAAAGCGCCCTTACTCTTTGCTCATCCATAACGTACTGCATTTCTAGAAGGCCAGTTCAGCCGGAATAAATATGTGAAATTTCCGATTTTCGCACCAATAACCTCACGATTGCTAGTTTCTTTTTGAGCTGCAACACACTCGGGACCGCTGAACCGGTTCGCTTTGTACAGATAATTTTTGACCAATCATCATCCTCTGTCTTCTCAGTTTGCAGGGTACTGACGATATACAACTCGATAGTGTGATGTACTTTCATTATGATCACCAAAGTAATTTTTATACCACGAATACTACTTCTGAAACTACTTTGCGACCAAAATCAACCAGCATCGACCAGCATCAACCTTGCGCTGCTGTGCGGTGCTAACCACTGCAACGACACTCAAGCTAATGGGAAAAGCACCAATTTTTCGGACAAGTTCAATATATCCACCTATATAATCAACCATCGTTGATATGTGGTCCGCTCAGTTCTCTTCAGGCATCTGAAGTTTTTGTACAAATTGAATTCTTACGATTCCTTTACTTTCTACCCTTACTACCACCACAAACAAATACGAATTACGCCACTTTTATAGAGGATGCTATTTGCTATCTTAAAGTGGTTAATTCATCTATAAAGTGGCAGTGCCCCTTGATACTGCATTTGGTGCCTTCACTCATCTATTTCATATCTTGAGCATGCTCAGACCCCACATCTTGTTCGGACAGTCAGGCGGTAGTTTAGAATGACGATGAAATTCCATCGTGTTGTCCGTGGGCTTTGAAAGTTGCCCGGAGTGGACGAACGAACGCCCTGCACACTTCCATCTCAGAAAACCGCCCAAAGAAAGTACACATTTTTATGAGTAAAATCTTATCATTTTTTATACAAGTGAACCGATTGGGCTTTGGATAAGTACATAGTAAGCATCAGGGATTCGTAGGTAGAAAATGGCGCCGGAAGTCCGACAGAATAAATGGGTCGGCTCCTGCCTCTCCTTGCTCCAAACGACTGACATGATGAACGTCCTGTTTGGGACGTCAGAAGTAGTGATTCACGGTAAACAAGTGAACTCTTGAAACATACCAGAGTGAAGAAAACCAGGAAGCAAAAAGATTTTTGACAATCCCAAAAATCACCCAAACACGAAAATAAGTTTCCACATTCATTGCTGATGAAGCTACTCATTAGTAGGCAAAAATAAACGCAAAAGCCTTTTGGCTTTGGGTCGTGTGAACAACCGTGTTCGAGACAGGGCAAGACTACCTGCTAGAAGTATCTCAAGGTATCGATGACAGTTTGGTGCACCAGTAATGTAGGTCAACTACAGATTGTAATTACCTGAAGTTTTCTTTTAGTTGCGTAACACTGGATTATTGGTTGTCATAGTAGTCTGGAGATGTGAACGATTTCCCCACACCATGTTGGCACGTGAATTCATTTGTTTAGTTTGTCTATACACAAATCACACACACAAGCATCTGTCACACACTGTGTAGTAACGGTATTTTCCTCAGCTTAGCTCTCGGTCTGAGCCTCCCAAGCTAGCGTTCACGTCAAAACAACCACCAAAGGTGCACAAGGTCTATTAATGCCCAAAACGAAGTCAAGAACAGCTGTACAGCGCACCTTGAAGTTCTGACGCGTTCTGGATGCGCCATTGGCGACCGGCATTTGGCCAATACTGGGTCATGACTGGCTGTTGGGTCCAGATTTCTGACCAACCAGATCTCGTCTTGATGCCGGACCGGCAAGCGTCCCGAATTCTTGGCCAATCTCGTGCGGGTCAGGCTTATCGGCCATAGCGCCTAAAGACGTGCGGTATAGCGGGATCCGTGTGGAATTCTGCCTAACACACGGACAGGTAGTAAACATGATAAAAGTCAGTTTCACATGTTTATTGACTGAATGTCTTCCGGTTCATTTCTATGATGCCTCGTCTTACAGACACATCTGCGTGCAGTCTGAAAAACTATCGATTTCATTCCAGTAAGTTTGGTGCCCTTTAAGCTCCGGTCATTCTCTCCAAAAGCTTGGATATAGTGTTCGCTTCTCTACCTAATCTTCTCAACGTGATTAGGCGTCCTTCGGAGACCCTAACCATGGCGCCGGTCAACTGTGAACGGTATAATGAATCAGTCCATTCGAGGGTATTGTGAATTTCGGTGGAGTAACAGGGAAGGAGACAGACTGGTTTGAACCTCCCGGCCCCGTAATGTTTGACTTACGTGGCGGACCTGCGGTGCTTAGGATAACGTTCGAGTCGTTTCGGGGTTTGCCTAAGCTGAGGAAAAATTATTTTTTGTCGAAAAAGCTTGTTTTCATCACTCACGCACTGTTTGATTGTGGGCTATCGAGCAGGAACTTGTTGAAATGCTAAACTGATACTTTTGGGTTGGTGCGGAGGTCAAGTTGAAAAACTGTTTTCGGACAGGCTTTGGGTAGACAGAAGTAGAAAACAGCTCGGTATGAAACATTCGGGATACCGTATGGTCTTTCCGGCAGACCGTTTTTTTTGTGACACCGTCCAGACTGCAGCATAAACATGGCTCAGTTTCGGCTCGCAAGTCTTCGCTTAGAATTTTTTAGATGGAAGTGACTCTCGAAAGGCGATTGCTTCACTTCATGTAGGTTGATCAGCGGTATGATTTTGGATAGAAAATACGATGAAAGGACCGGACAGCTCGAATTATGCTAAACAGTTCTGAAAGGATGAAATTATTGCTTGGGTGGCTGAGGACTCTAAGGGCACCTCAGAATCTTTGTGATTGCACATGCCAGCGCACTTGGAACAGGATGTCAGAAAATTACCCTGACACGCTAGCGGTATGGTGAGATGCCAAGGTCAAAGTAGTTTCATCCATTTCACACGTGTTTAACTTGCGTGGTAACAGAAATTTCGAAGGTATCTGCTTAACAAGGAATAAATGGGGGGAAGACTCACAATGAACGACATCAATTAGGCAGGCGCAGTTTGTGAGTTTTCATCAACTTTATGTTCTACTTGAACCCAAATTGGGCAGATTTTGAAAAATTAAACTTAGTTGCATAAGTTTACAGCACGCTTAGTTGCTCAAAAACACCATAAATGAGAAATTCTCTTGGATTCCAAATCAGTTTGTTCATCAGTTACTTATATGACGCGTGCTACGTTTGATAATAACACTCGAACTAGTAGCATGCCGCATAATAACCACCGTCGACATCATGAAACAAGGGTGAAATTTTTCAACAAGTCTGCTGAATCTTGTCATTAGGGTTGGTGTGATTTCAGCGCAGGATTTTTCAATAGCCTCCGACTGGACTCTGGTCAATAGACAGGTGTTCGGGAACTCAACAAGACCACTGGTGTCAGCAGACTTGAAGTTGAATTCTCCCATTAACTGGTTGATGGTTTTCGTTCAAGATGAGTGTTTGTGGCAACATATCGAAAAAATTTGTACGGCATATTGCGACTGCTGTTTTGATGAAGGTCTCCCGTAACTCAGATTAGCTGATCATACAAAAAATGAGATCAGTGATCTTTTGATTCGTAAACATAGCACAGTGGGTTGCACTCCACAAAAAATTAAGCCTTTACGACACATCTTAGAAAGTGTGTTCTCACCTCACCATTATCAGCTAAACGCATATTTTCCAGGTTTTTAAAACAGTCGAAAGTTTTCAGGGAGATATTGTGTTTGTAACGGACTCCGTTTCCATTACACGAGCTAAGGAATCCCATCCACAAATTGTCAGATATACGGTCACTCATCGAATGTTTGAGGCAACTATGTCTTGACGATTTGAATACATCTGTGATTTACTAATTGTTGCTGTTTCACCCTATCATTATCATCATCACCATCATCATCATCATCATCATCATCATCGACAGCATGACATCGGTGTTCAGCACCGACACTGAATGACTTAAACAGACTGCTCAGCAAGTGCACGCCCAATGTGTTTAAAATTGTCCGTGGCAGGCTTAACACCGCTGAAACCATATCTGTTTATTCCATCGGGGCCAGTAATAATCAGTTCAACGTCTCTGTGTGTTGCTTTGCCCATTGTTCCGCTGCTGCACGCCAAACGTACTCATGAGAACACAGTAGAGCAGGTCTATAGCACCGCCCCACGAACATGTGACCAGAGTGACGCCTGTGCAGGAGTACAAAGCAAACGGTCAGTTGGCGACAAATTCGATGGCAGTCTTGAATTCTGATTGAGCTCAAAGTGTCGTTTGAGAGACTGAAAATCGATGTCCTTAAAGAAATGAGGTACCACAGCCACACACACAAACTAAGGCCTTCGATCTGTAGTTGTTGAGACCACACGGTTAAATTGATGTCATCGAGGATTTCAATTAATCGTTTCTACATCCGTGATGCTTCGGTGTTGTATTTCAAAGGTAACAGCTTTCAAAGTGCACTTCCACTCCACTCGAACAGCGGGTAAAAAGGCTTCAAGTTGATGATTATGCCTTTGACTCACATACTGAACATTTTTTGGCCACAGCAATCATAAAACCAACTGAACCTCACCAAAGTTGGGAATCCAGGTGACTCGGAAAATGACTACTTTTCAACAGTGTTTACTTCATATTGATGATTTTGATCTTATGGTGCTACTCAACTCAAACTTGAAGCTCTAGAAACGACTTCCGTCTGAAATGACGAGACCAGTTTCAACCTTTTCTGTAGCCGAATGAGTGTGCTCAGGCAAGAGTTCTACAGCAAATATGCCTGGACCAAATCAGCGCGGTTACATAAGTCGGTATTTTGAAGTATTGTGGTGTCTAAGCGGAAACTGGTAACTGCGACGCACAATTTCGCTGTTATGTGTGTAACAACGCAAGGTTTGGAAAGGCTCGGAAAGAACCGTTCTTTCATGGGAGTACGCTGTCTAAACTGCATCACATTTTGCGGCATTGAATCCGGCGACAGCTAATGAAGTACCTTCAACAGTAAAATTCTATCTTTATGAGAGCTTTTAAGAGGTACTAGAGTAGACTTTGCCTCGACGGAGGGAAAATGCATGCGGTTCCTCGGGCGAGGATCAACATAGACAAGGGAGTGTCTTAAGCCAAAACACTCGGAAAAAAGCCAGATGCACACAAACCAAAAGCAGTGTGGATAAAGACATTCCGTTTTTATCGTAACACTTGAATAACTTCTGCATTTTAAGAATGGATGTAAACTGTGTTGAACCGTGAGGAACTTGTGGCATTGTATTGTCCTCCCGTAAAAATCCAATGTAATAGAGTGTTTTCCCGCCAAAACTCACAATCCAGATTCTTCCTTTTGACTACAGTTGCTCAGATGTACGTGTAGCAGGTTGCTCCATGCACACATACCGGACGTTAAGGGGCATGATACGATGACGATAATTGTAGCCCCGAGTTTCCATCAGTCCACCTGAAAATGAACCATATTGCACACAGCTGACGAAATACGCTCATTTGTAAATGAGGCATTTATCGTGCAGGTCCAATATGAATGAGACGAACCACCGGGAAATCGTTTACGAGGTTGTGGTAACAGCATCAGCCCAGTGATGTGTTTTTTGACGCAGCGAGTGGAGCATGTTAGTAAACGCGATTAGGGCGCTGCAGATTCGTGCTGTGACTTCTTCAGTGGTAACAGCTCAGCCCAGTGATGTGTTTTTTGACGCAGCGAGTGGAGCATGTTAGTAAACGCGATTAGGGCGCTGCAGATTCGTGCTGTGACTTCTTCAGACACACTTCCGTGAGATGTAATGCGAACACCCAAGTACGCAAGATTTTTCACAACTTCCTGAGGCTCTTGATTTATAAGGTGTATGTTCAGAGACTACACGTTCTGTAGCATGATTTAGCACTTTGAACCAGGCACCTGGGAATGATCGTGGTAAGCTAGCACTAAGTCCCTCCCCCATCCATCTTTATTCCGTTGTTTACAATAAGGCTTTCAAATAAATCATGGTTGTCCGGCAATGAAGCATTGGTGTTGAACATTGATATCATGCTGTCGATGATGATGATAATGATAAAATTAAGTTGATGTAAAAGGAACATCCATCTAAATCCCAGCTGAACGTCTAGATTTTATATCGTCCGACTGGATGTACTTCACAGGAGCCACATCTTGTTTAAGCTTGCACGATACCCTAAATATCGCGGTAGACTTGCTCCCTGTAAACACTACTTGAAGTAGGATATCAGTAAGATATTAGACATGTGGCATAAAAGGTATCAAAGCAGTTACGCCGAGGAAGGATGACAAAAGAACGCCATTCTTAATGCGATCGGGAATATATCGACCACCTCCAGCACACCATAATCATTTTTGCAGTTTCATTTTGGCAGGCATGGGTAGTCATTTGACTGGTATTTCGTAAATTTCCGAGAAATCAACAGTTCATATGATGTTTAGATGCTAAATGTCGGTCTTTTCCGACTGCCTTCTATTGTGCTTGGACAGATCACGAACAACCCAGGTTGTTGACGTCCAAGTTCTTATATATTCAGTAAATATCTCGGCCTAAGAAGACCCATTTCACCGTTGGTGAAGCTATCACTATCATCATCATCGACAGCATGACATCAGTGTTCAACACCAATGCTTCACTGTCGTACAACTAATTTATTTGAAAGCCTTATTCAACAGACTAAAGAAGGACGGGAAAGGGAGTTAGTGCTAGCTAAACACAATCATTCCGGGGTGCCTATACCTCCAGACACTCACTCAGATGATCTGGATAGAAACTGTCGACAAGAACACCACTGACATCGGTTGGCGGCCATATCTTGTAATGTCTCCAACCAGGCACAGCGAGGATCACGCGGTCCCCATCCTGGAAGGCGAGCAGTACCGACAGCACCCAAGCGTTTCGTGATCTCTTTCATACTCCTCTGCCAAGTCAAAGGTTGGTCACCTCTCTGTTTACGCTACTCTGAGTTGGACATGGAAAACAGCACTCTCATCGGCAAACGATGGTTCGGCATACGCAACACATGTCCCAACAAACGCAGCTTCTGGTGCTGAAGAGTGTGTCTAGCACCAGAATTGTATGCATCATAACAGGCTGACTCACATCCATTATAGTGAAGTTTATCGGACAGCGCATCCGTTAAACCCTTCTGCGCAACTCTGTTTTGTCTGTCAACCTGAACACTAACGTCTAATGCAAATGTTCCTCTCCGGAGTAAGCATCTCCAGGAGAAACCACTTTCACTTCGCCTCATGAAGTGCATTTGAACGGTAAGTACTCCAAGAAGAGACATGTCCGTGAGAGAGGCTAATTTAAGTGGGTCGCCTGTACTAGGGTAAATGGTATATCTCGTGGACGTGGGAGTGAATGTGAATGGAAAAATCTGTCTACAGCACCCCTTCTATCTCTTAAAGAGTTAGGCTGATGAATGAAGACCAACACAGAATACTTGTATTAAGTGTACGCACAAAGTCGTATGCACGCAGTGCAGTGTGAATTTTTCTATTCACAGATTTTCCGTTGCAATGTCTGAGCATGCGAAATAGGTACAGCATGCAACCGGGGTGAGTGTGTTACTGTATGTTTGTGTGTGTGTGCCTGTGTGTGTGTGTGGATGTGTGTGTTGGTTTCTCTGTGTGTTCTATGTTACAATGCTGCAGTACGGGTACCACCCGGCTGGTCACACGAGGACCAAGCTGACAAGACAGGTGTCAGCGCACGTCCATCATCGGTGATGTCCACTTCAGTGACAGAGAATGCATCATTTGAAACGATGTCGCCAGCAGGTAGTTGCGGCTTTCCCGATTTATGAGGTATGGCATTAGAGACGTTCGAATTGGTATGTTTCACGTGATGTCCATGTTGTCTGGTGTATAAGGGACGGTTTGCACCGATTTGCAGGTGAACTTCTGGAACGATGTCCCTCTTGTATGAGTTGTCAATAACGACTAGGGTATTGTCCGGCTTACGATGGTGACGATGGTGAGTGTGTCGAGAGGGATGAGGACGATGATGGTGGTGCTTTGTATGTCTTTTTCCGCGATGCTGACGATGCTTGTGATGATAACATGATTCACGTGTCACTCTGTCCTCCGAGATGGGATAAGGCTGTTGAAGACGATCTCTGGAGGTTGATTTATTGTTGCTATCCTCATTCGAATCCTCTATGCTACATATTTGGATGGAATAGATACTATTTGATGAATGCGCTATTGAACCCAAACCACTAGTTATGCTATCCTGTTTGATCGTTCGTAGCTGCTCATTCCCAAGCATTAGAGGTTCTGGATATTGGACCAAACACGGCAGATCACTTGAACCTCTCGCAGATGATGTCGTGTAAGAATCCAAGTCCTTAGAGCGGTTTAAATCCTCTCTCACTACCGATTCTACAAGTCCTACGTAAGCCATCGCAGATGAGCAAGGAAAATGCCGGCGTCCATCACTGGGTTTCAAACTAGATTTGTGCCTTTGCATAGAGGGAGTTTCACTTCCACTTGGGGCGCCACTGTGTTGTGGAGACAATGTATCCTTGGTTTCTCTCGATGAAGACAGTTCAGCTGTCTGACTCCAGCCTCCTGACTCATCGTTTCCTCGATAGGGAACGTCAGGAATATAAGAGGAACGTGATGTACAGTCGAGTATTATCACAGGTTCGGTTGGTAAAAAGGCTGTGTCGTTGCTGGCCAGTGAGTGTCGGGCATTGTTCATATTAATATCCCTAATTCCACTTGGCCTTGCAATGTCTGCTGTTGGCACACCGGACTCGTTGGAAGTGTTCACCAAAGATACATGACGCTCCAAGCCACCGCTATCGCCATGTAAACTGTACGGAGGAATACTATCACGTTCAGAATATTGGGAGCAGTTACTACCTAACCCATCGTCGTATTTTCCAGACATGGGACGCAGTGGCTCTTCGCGTGTATCTGACCATTCGTCACCCATTTCATTGAAATGAGATACGTGGTTCGGTGCTTCCTGCCGCACGTTGTCGCTGTGGTCTGATGAGAGAACGGCATGCTGACTACTTGATGTAGGTTCGACTAATGACATGCTATCATTGAGTTCTGCGCTTTCAGAGTCATTGTTCAGCTGATAATCACTCGATTTGGGGTACCTAATCTGCTGCTGCCATTGTTGGAGCATCGTCCTCGAAAGTAGTGTGTTGGCATTATTAGACTGGTGCGCACGCAATGCCGCACTTTGATTGGTGCTTGCTCGTGACGATATGGCTTCCTCATCATAGTATTGTTGCTCGTCTATAGGTTGCTGGTATTCCTGCTGTAATTCTTGTAACTGCGGTACTGAGTTTTCATCAAACATTTGGGGACCCGTTCCATACACCTGGACCCAAGTGTCGGACATCAGTTCGGCATAGTCCTGCTCCAAGTAGGCCATATCCTCTCGAGCTTCGATAAATTCGCTCTCCTCTATGCCCTCCCCAATAAACCAGTGCACAAAACTTCGTCTACTGAACAGAACATCAAATTTTGAGTTGTTCCGTTGCCACGCTTGACGCATTCCCAAATTTCCTGCAAGCATACACACGGAACGGGGTGTTTCACCTAATGGTGAGTGTAAAAATGTTGCTGGTGGCATGGAGTTTAGGCCAACTTTGAACCCGGTCGGACACCAGTCTACGAAGCTAGCTCCGACGCTAGGCGTGCCCTTGACATACTGTAATGCATCGTAAACATGTTTTGGACTGCTAACTCCACGATACAACATTGCACAAGAAATATAGGCATTTTGTCTGCAAGGAAAGTCGATAGTCTTGGCATCCTCACTAAACACAGCTCGAGTAAGTTCGGTCACGGTCAAAGCGTCATGGTTCAGTTGAGTTTTGGACACAATCGGTGCATAAAATAGAGACGGAAAGTGAATCCGAGGATACGGGATCAAGTTGGTCAACAACTCGGTAGTGTCGGCGTGTTGCGAGCCGTGATAGACAAAACGGTGAGACAGAAATACCGAACTTAACATTTGAGCCAACAAACGATTGATTTCCGTATATGACGGCTGAGGGATGGAAAGGTTTTTCGTGCAACGTTCAAACATTGTCTGGTTATCAACAAGGATATCGCAATCCAGTGTTTCCATTGTTGCATGCGAGTGTAAAAGCGCGTTGTAAGGGTCCACTGTGGATGTGGAATACATGGTCGACGGAAATATGGAAGTGCTGAATTTGAAGCGTTTTCCATACTCATCACAAAGGTGGTCAATAATTAAACTTGTCATGCCGGAGCCTGTACCTCCAGAATTAGAATGAACCAGTTCGAATGCGGCCAAATTCTGTGAATCCTCAGCCAGTTTGCGAATTGATTCCATCGTCTCATCCAATTTCAGTTTGCCGATGGTGCAGTTTCCTCGCCCGTAGTTATTTGCCGCATCTTCTTTGCCAGTTATCAGAGAAGTCGGTTTCCACAATTGACGATAAGGGCCGGTTCGTATTTCATCTAATAAGGAAGTAAATGAAAGAATAAGAGACATTTTCCGCCATAAGACTTCCTAAACATAAAGTATGATTCGTTCGGATAAGTGTTGATCGGGTTTCACTGGACTAAGTCGAGTTAACTGAAAGAACTACTGTGACCTGGAAAGCTAGTTCTTCCACGATGTTGATATTTATGAGTTATCAGAACTCGAAGAAACAGCCTTTATCATTCTTCTGACGTAATACTGGACTCATAATGTTCCTTAAAGCTCATTGACAGCCTCCTGGTCATTCCATGCTTTTTTGAGCTCATAAAACAGTTGTAGTACCCTCGTTTTTATTAAACCCTAATATCTTCCTGAACATCAAGCTGTACGAAGGCAAATTACAATCATCTGCATAATAAGGTTTGGTAATCTTCCACTGGCCATTGTGAGGCTTCTCAGGAAGACAACCGTGAACAAAGCATGCTTGATGACAAGAGTGTCAGGACAACCAAGGATACCTAGCTGGCCACGGCCACTGCACAGTAGGCTAGCTGGTGTCAGACTGTGGTAGTTCCCTGTCAAAGAGTATGGAGGCCTAAGAAATGCTTGAATCTGGAATACCCCATAGTTTCTTTCCGTTGTTTATCTCTATCTTGCTAGAATTAACGCAAACCTGGGTCTCAGTGATTCCCAATCCAGACTCAGTAAACGTGAAAGGTTGGGGGCGAGATGGCCCAAGTGGTTAGAGCGCAAATTTACTGACCTGAAGGTCCGCGGTTCGAACCCGAACTCTGCCACTCGACTTCCCTGTCTAGGCTTGGGCGACCGACAGTATCCCAGCCCTCGTGCCTCCTTCGTGTGGCATGGCAGCTAGGCATTAGGCATCGAAGGGTGCTACAGCTGAACAACTTAAACGTGAAAGGTTGACCCTTGTCTTATGATGCGCTTTGTGTATTTTTATTCCAAGTTTATGATTTCATTTAAGCTGCATGAGGATGCAGATACACGTAGGTAATGAGTGAATTACGTTACAGTAAACAAATAGCTAGGAAAACTCGCGCAACTTACCATATCACAAGCTCCGGTAATCAAAAACACAAAGGACTGCCCTAATCTTTGAATTTCCTCGTCATGTCTAATTGTGTTGATAGGCACAAATGTACCTTCGGTTCGGTCTGAATCACCTGTGGGACCCATTGGATGCTATGTAACCCCGGGGTGTAACCATGAGGATGGAGTCCTAAAACCATCGAAGTATTGTCATGGTAATTTACAAGCCGCAGCTCCTTTAGAGATAGAAATTTATTCCCGTGAATCAGTCAGACGTTGGAACTCAGTTACTCAACCTTCCGGATAAGTGCATGTTAAACCCAAAGACCGCATTTTTTTAGTCTACCAAAATTATCCGTACCATCTGACGAGAGCCATCTCTCAACCAGAATCACATTCCATCGACCCTATATGAATGCGGTTGCAATGCTCACTAACGTATGCAGAGTTAGCTGCCTCATTATTCACAGAATTATGTATTTCTTGGACACGTCATCATATCATCATCTTTAGCCGTAAAAACCGTATACACGTACGCTGGTTAGAGTTGCCTCAGTTTTGTTCATTGACTAAATTCACTAGGTTAACAAAGTGCGAAAATCCGTGGTAATGAATGAAGTGGTAGTGTTCCGGTCCACTAGGTCCAACTTATCCTAATACCAATTCTCTTATACTCCAAAGTATTATTTTCAAACCAAACTGGCCGATTAGCACGGATATACAACAAAAGACACGATCTCCCAAGTGCCATTATCCTCACATCGCGCAAATAGTGCCAGTGACCCACTGTCGTCACCTAACAATCGCACCTACAGTGTCTTCCAAAAAGGAGTCTAGGTAGTACTAGGATTCAGTAAAGCCCTACAAAGGATGCAAACAGCGGCAAAGCCGAAAGTTAACGAGAAAACAGTTCAACCTTATAGCACGTCACCACCAACATTATAAGCCATAAATATACCAGGCATTTTTGTACAGTGCAGTGAGGTAGATGCCTGGTATCACACAATTAAAATTGCAGTTTTGCAATGTTTCTTTGTCAATCAACTAGAAAGCGGCTTGCAAAAGCTGAAATTTTTTTATTATGGTTTGAAAATGGCAACGCACCAAAATCCGGTGATGGAAAGTGTGTCGTTATGCATTCAAACTTCACGAACCTAGTTTCAAGTGTGATCCTTGAGAACACAGAATTTAGTCCTCAAATAATTACCACATCATCGACTTTGAAAACTGCCAAAATCAAGTTATCTGAGTCCAGGTTCTTGTGTCCGTTTGTTCCAAGTTGCTTTTCTAAGATCTCACTCTGTCGGGTGATCTGGCACCACAAAACAAGGAGCAAATGTTGACGTAACCGGCCATAAATTGAGCAAAATATTTCTCTAAAGTGAGCATCAAGGCGTCTCACAGAGTAATGAAATGGATTCCATAGGTTTCGCATTATGCGGGATTTGCTTCACATGTTTTAGTTACTTCTTCTGCTGATAACAATCAGTGATAATGATAGGAGTGAAGCTGCTCCCAGACTATTACAGAGGCAAAAGCTTTTACTTCTGAAGCATGTCTAGAAACCGCTGGTACATTGGCACTTCAGAAGGCATCGCAGATACGATGCATTAGACTAAGTCAGCAGTGTTTGTCGATAACTGGCAGCATCTTTCAAGCTAATGAGACGTTCCGCAGAGATGCAGTAGCGTAAATGTCATTTTGATTCCTACGAGAATCGAAATGAAGATGTGAATTCACAAACGGAAGCTCCTTTTGAACAAGAATGAAAACGACATACGCAAAAGAACAAAGTACAATTCAAGAAAGATTCAACCGAGGTATAACTTGACTTCTAGCGAGCTATAGGACTATGGGAATAAAATTATAGGATTTAGGAAACGGAGAGATGCTACTCAAACAATTTGGAAGAGTGTGTTTCTACAATTGATAGGGATGAACAAGGAATGAACAACAAAGCCTTCTAGCGACAAATCATGCATGGACAGAAATTCAAGAGTTCAAGACTGATGATCATCACTCCTCATGGTACCGATAAATGAATCGGAACGCTCCAACTCCAGATGGTCACAGAAGGAGTAACAGTGAGGCGTAAAGTTTTACGCCGCATTTAATCTACTTAACTTTGCTCTAATTTGCTGTGATAGGACGAGTCAGTTTCAATAGTTTTCCTTTCAGTTTACTTAAAAATGATAAAAGGGATCTGTTCTGTAAACTTAACAGCCTAGGACAATCGTATTGAAGTTTAAATAGGGCGAGTCTTTGAGCCGACGTGAAATGTCTGCAAGACATACACAGGAAATCACTAAACTCTTTAATGTTAATCCTGTTTTGATGCACGTGCTACCATCAGTGACGGTCTGATAGGGTGCGTGAAAGCCGGGTAATCTGAAATAGTGAGGAATATTATTGGATCCACTGAAGAGATGTAAGTCAGTAGTGGGATGACATACGGCCATTTGAAAGAATTGAACACCTCTGTGTTCGACAAATTTCACTTTTTGATGTTAGGCAGACAAGTGGCAGCCAGCGTGTGGTTGTCACGCAGTCGGAATGAAGTGCAGTGCTGAGAGTGGTAGTAAAAAGGACAGTGGTGTCGGCTGAACGGTCCTGAACTAGCATGATGCGAGAGACTACATATATACGTAGGTCTCCGTCAGTGAATAGTCGCACAAGGTTTTCGGCGAAGATCTTTGTCTCTCAAGGCAAGTGTGAACAACTTCCATTGGTGTATACTGTAGGTTGCCCTTCGTGTGGAAGGCTATGATTTTGTTATCCTTGCATACCATTCAGTCTGAGCCCTCCAATTAAACAAAGGTAGGAAAGCCTATAATATAAGTAAATTCCGGAGAAAAATAGCCAAAACAGTAGCACAAACATCTTGACAGAAGGTAGGGGCAACTGTGGAATTTTTCTGACAACCTTTAGACTTCTTTGGCAGCAAGCAAGTTCCGTTTATCCTATTTCAGGTGAACCTTGAACTAAAGTGATTCTTCTGAAAGGTGGTAAACAGCAAACCTGCTGATTTCTGAGGTTTAGAAAGGGATAAAGTGGTTTGTCTTAGAACGGAAGTAAAGAAAACAATCGCCTCATGCCAGCGTATGCAGTCAAGCTAGCCATTTTTATCCAGGCGCTTCCAGGCGTTCTAATAAAATTTCCACAATTGGTTTGGTCGACCGAGGAAGACCAGAGAAACTGTTGGGATACTAGCGAAAACGACTATATGACAGCCACATGACGATGCAGCTTTACCTCTATGGAAGGCTACCTCAAGAAAGCCTTTGTGTTGATCAGGTGAATTTATGAATGATAAAAGCCATTTGCAGGTGGAAAACTTAAGCTTTTAGTTGTATACAAAAAATGGCCCGTCCGCTATACTCAGTTGAAGCATGCAGTGACGCAGTACTTTATCTCATCACCTTACTGTTCCACCCCAAATCTGACCATCGGGCTGTCCAGACGGCAGGTATAGCGCATATATCATATACAGTTCTACTTCAAATGATCAGCGTGAAAATGTGTAATTTTTCTCTTTAATTTTCGGTGCAGTAGACTGATTAATTCATGGTGGTATGGTGTGTTCGTATAGGTAACAACCGCATTATTATATAAGCCTGACTCAGGCTTGCGGTGAATGTCCTCAAACCAAGACACTGAAAAGACGGTCCAAGATGTCCAGAGTTGCCGACTTATGAGTTAGTACGGTGCTCAACTAGTCATCCTTTCAAGAGCATCACTTGGTTCTCCTCGTTCTTGCTATATTTCTTGTTGTTGCCCCGCATTCCGGGACGAAACGCATTCGCTTTACAATTCCCCGTTTGTCTCTGATATGCCACGAAGAGGAATAGTTAGTTAGGAAGAAAGTGTTACATAACGAGTACCAATAAAGACGTGAACCAAAATCAATGAATTCCACTAATCCATGACAAACTTTCGTCCACTGTGGAAGCCTCGTGGTGTCAGTATCGAGCCCATTCTTGTTAAGTAACATTAAGCGTTACTGTAATCCACAAAGCAGAAGTTGAGGGCAGCAACGCAGTATGACCCTCTGAGTTGATATATGACATGATTCACCATTATCCATGGGTCGACTTGTCTTGTATGTAAGGAACAGCAAATGAACTTTTGGAGAGAAGATCAGCAGAACAGTGAGTCTACTATCGGACTAAGGGGGCTCAGTTTGCGACAGATAGACATAGTATTGTCTGGAGCCCCATGACGTAGTCCATTTACGTAAACAATTAAACGCGAGTGGTGTAATACACCAATAGTCTCTGGTCAGCTGCCAAGACGCCGTCCCTTATCTGATGGAAAGTTGTTACGGAGATAATGGAACAAATTCACAGGGTTCATATATTGCTGTTTACTTTTCAAAGAACGTTCAAGGAAGTCCAATATGACGCTTGAGGATGTTAACTTCTCAAAAACTCCACACTCAAGAATGTATTTTTTTCATTTGATTTGCTTCCGGGGAACAGGATCAAAGGAAGATCCCGTGGCCACAGCCTCTTGATGGTGTAAATGTTCGGACCTCTTGAGAAGATTTAGAGGATGTTGCTAAGATGCCAGACTGATAACCGACCGGGGTATGTTGGCAGCACCTAGGGCCTTCCTTAGAGGCTTGGAAAAAGTGGCCCTCGATGTGGCGAGAAGGGACCCTGGGAAGATGGACTGGACCGCAGCGAAGGAATCAGCTGCACCGAACTTTGACACAGTTCGACAGCCAGAAGGCCATAAAGGGGTTCAAACCGGCCATGCTGGGACCAGTGTGCGATCAAAAGTCTAGCCTGCAGCAGAAATAGGATTATGACTCGCTGGGATTGGAACGAGAATCACGCCAGCAGTATCTATCCGACTAGTTCGTTGAAAGTGCACAGCCTACGCTTGATGCTCAGGTGCAGCTGACGACAGCAACCGGCCAGTTTAGTGTGGCACGTGAGACGTACCAGGTGGCCCTGGCTACAATGCAGTCACAGGAGAAGTGGGACCGATCGCCAGCGGGAACCTGCACATCAATGTGGACCGATTAGCCAAATAGCTTGCCGCCATGATGACACTAACTCAGAGGTACATTCAAACGGACGGACTCTACAACTGTGGCATGTCTGGCCACTAGGCGAACCAACATCGTTGTAAGCAGCCATCGGTCAATAATAGCGGCTTGGCCTATTCGTCTTTTCCCGGCTATGGTGCGTCCAGAAAAGTGATGAGGTCTACGATATAGGCAGTAAGTGAGAGAGAAGAGAAGAACAAGTTCTGTTTAATCCATACAGGAGGGGGCATGTCACTCAGGCGAAAATTGAACGAAGCCGGATGCAAACAGTGTTCTCTAACAGTGATAGCAGTGGATGGTTGAAGAGTGCGCCGAACTGCTCATTTATGGCGAAGACCCAGTGGATCGAACACGAAATCCCCCTCTCTTCCGAACGCTTCCAGCAGTACGGCCCGCATCAGATACCACTCCATTTAAGGAGAGAGGTTAACCGATAGGTGAATGAGAAGTATGAAAATGGCATACTCACGGAATCCAATGGTAGGTACAACCATTCCATATATTCCATTCGATATATTTCGTGGTTTCTGGTTTGCATTCTGGATACTGGCAACTAGTCATCGGGTAACAGGACACGGAACAAACGGCTTTAACGGTTGGAAGTACCCAATATCAATTTAGAAGGATGCCGTATGACTTATCGGGGGCATTATTCATTTTCCGACACCTGGTGTTTCGCTTAATGAAGGGATTATAGAATGCGGCTGGGTACGGTACTTGTGGCAGATTATCGGACGATAATTTCAACTAGATCGCTGCTCCATTGGATGACTCGATTGATCAAAAATAAGAGGCTGAGTAGACAAGCGAAGCGCTCGAGGCCTTCACACACGGCAAGGCGCGGATGCTGGATCAACAACTCACCCTGAATCTGCCCAATGTCTGGGTGTCTACTGTCGCAGGGCATGCTAGTAGCCGGGACATCGGGACCGTTCTGAAGCAGAAGGATAGGGACATTGAATGTGCCAGTCGTGTCCTGACCGAGGCTGAGCAAAAGTATTCAATCATCAAAAAACTCTTAGAGTATTAGCGAAATACACAAATCTGCATACCAATTTGGTTTTTGACGAGACCCACAACCCAGCCGGATCTCGTGAAGAGNATATATATATATATATATATTCTTTTTAACACCGACACTGATCACTTAACAGTTAAGTGGATCAGGACCACCAGAGATCCCCACGGAAACTTCGCGCGCTGGGCATTGTAGCTCTTAGAGCATAGCTCCAAGATCCTGTACGCGGCCGACGACACGCGTACCTCCGGAGGAGCTGGAGGAGGAACAGAGGACTACCGTTCGGGAACGGAATAAGAGAAAACGGCAAGTAGGAAAACACGACCATTCTCCATGAGCACAAAGTCCAAGTGAAAAAATTTGACTGAAATTGCGGAATCTGAGCAGTCTTTGGCAGAATTTATTCATCGTTAAAGTATTTTTATGAAAGCGAGGATGGTTGAGGGTCGAGACGAGTAAACGGTAACCAGATTCGGATAAAGTGCTCAGATTGAGTGCTCAGACGAGTCACTAAACGGACAAACGCAGGCGAACTTTTGGAGTAAGAGGTGTGTTACGGTGTACACTACCGGTGGAATACGCGAGTAATGTCTGGTCGGGTGTCAAAGCGCCATCCCCGCATCTGATGGAAATTTGTTATGGAAAGTATGGGACCTCTTTGGTAGTGATCTTTCACTATTGTATAATATTCAGAGCATCTTCAAGAAAATTCAATAGGGAACTAGGGACTATGCACTTTTAAAACACCCCGCACTCCTAGGCTTTCTTTCTTTCACCAGTATCCAGAAAAATGTCACATTGTCGAAATCGTACGTAAGTTCCATGCCCTGCTAGCATTCAGTGACTTAGGCACAGCTTCTGCTCATCAACGTTCTTTTGGGCAGTATACATCTATATATTTGAAGCAAGGAAGCCTAAACGGACAAAGTTGAGTATGACATCCCAAACTCTCCCTTCATCTTCGCATAATATACGTTTCCTCACTACTAGATCAGAGAAAGGATTTTGAATTGATGGAGGGTGACGGTGCGCGAAAGGTAAAGGACGGTAATGGTTTTTCACACTCCGCTACACGTGATGGATTTTTAAAATGCCCTCAGGTCAGTGTTCTGACGTGAACCTAACTTGAGTATGCCGAAACCAGTCATGTCAGCAAGTAAACTGGACTCCCGCCTAACATTCTCAGGACTACCTGCACAACTAATGAGTTCTTTGGAAACTACATGTATTTACTCTGAAATATAAGCTTTTGCGCTGGTTTCTGTCTGTCTGAAAAAGACTGTGATTTAACTCATTCATATGGTCATTAGTTCTGTCTTAACGTAAATCGGAAGAGGAAGGTCAGAATCCGATCGTTTTGGCTTTTGGCCGACCAGTTGGTAACATGAAGTGTCCCATACACAGGACTCACGTGAGGCAACGTCACGAGCATGGATAAACAACCGTTGTGCAATGTGCTAAGGTGACAGGTTATGAAAAATACAACGAAGAGACTATCACCCTGTTGCGGAGTTGCATCGGGCTGAGACTGTCTCTTTGAACTTAGGTGACTCGTGGGTGATTATTATCATTCATTACACATTTCGAAGAAAACTTAGTAGAAGCTCGGCAGGTTACTTGTTTTGATAAACAGTTCTATTCCTCGAGACCAAGTGCGACGCTCGCAAATCCTCCATTGGATTTGTTGCATCCACCTACCTACTTGTCTACCCGTCAATTAGATGAATAACTTGGATAGTCATCCGGTAAAATTCCCTGAGGCAATATCAGAATAGACCCAAAATACTGCATAAGCAGTTTCTGTTCAAGACGTTAGCCACTTTTCCCGATTGGTGCGGGGTAGTCAGCTGCAACTGATATGGCAAATAGTTTGTTATGAAAAGGATTTGGTGAGCAGCACAAAAGCTCTAGGCCCCCGTGCTTGGCAACCATCGATCTATCAGTGCATAGGTAGCTAACCACGCAGATCAGTTCTCAGGACTCAGCTTTACGAACAAAAGTTGAAAGCGTTATCTGTTACGGTAGTTGTGGATCTCATAAAGCTGTCTTCTAGGACAACTGCTACCGACAAATATCTGGGTGTATTTGCTGAATATCCACTTGTGAATCACATGACCGGTGTTCAGTAAATTTTGAGGGATGTAGCTCTTGAAGATTAATCAGAATGAGTCATCCGTCTTTGCAAACGATTTGCCGGGTCACCTAATTTGTATAAATTCTAGCTTCTTAGTTACTTTAGAACCAGAGTTTTCAGACAAAACATACTCACCCACCACTGTCGGTTCCAGGTCTACCATAATCGCTCGAGGAGTGAAGGTTCTTTGTCCCTCGTAGAAAAAAGATGTCACATGTTCTGCAGCAGTCATCTGATTTTCTGGTCCGGAAAGATTTAGCTGACCGTCTGCAGATATTCGGTGTTCAATACAGAATAATTCCCATAGAGCAGAACCTATTTGTACTCCGGCTTGGCCGATGTGAATCAAAATTACTTCCCGAGCCATTTCAAGATAATTATAAGTAGGTTACAATACGTATACAGGGCACCTGACCGCCCGGATGTACAACCGGCTACGGGGAGAATTCAACCCAAGTGCTGACTCCAGGAAGATCGATCGGTTAATCGATTGCCCCCGAAAAGCAGTGCGTGCGTAGATTGATGGTTTGCCGTTAAGTGAGATGTCAGAAACTCATGTTGTTGCCTGGCCTAACATACGCGTCTCCAGAAGAAAATTGGCAAAATGAGTCACAGGATCAGGTTGCCCCAAAAGAGGAATAAAATCGCATTGCGAGTGGATTTCAAGTAAAATGTGCAACACCGATTTTAGTGCATTCATTTACCGCCTGTATGAGATTTCCGAAATCTGGTTGGAGCAAATGGAGTTAAGGCTGATAGGGGAAGAAATGATGTCGCACTTTATAAATTGGTTGTATGGCAATGAACTCCAGGTGTTCTCATCTGGTGCTGTTGTCACTGATGATGATGAAAAAGTCACGTCATCCTCATTATCATCGACATCATGACGACAGTATTCAACACCAACGCTTCGCTGCCATACAGTACTGATTTATTTGAAAGCCTTGTTGTAAAGAAAATACTAAAGATGGACGAAGAAAGGACTTGGTACATCACGGTACGAAACACAGTTACAGTTCCCCGCAGATTACGCCGACATCACAATGAAGAATCACTTCAATTCTTATGTAGCTCGCTCTAAACAGTTGGTAGAGGCAGAACGACTGAGTATGTCCATAAACTGGAGTATGGTGATCCCATTTTCTTCACCTGACCTGTCTCTTGATAGAATCGGTAATCACAAGTCCCCTTTTTCCCCAAAAAATAATCAGTCTAAGTGGTATCTAATTGCAAACCACCCATCTTCTTTTACCCAGAATCCTGGCCAAAGCCTGAGTATAGCGGGTTTTCGGTCCGCAGTTAGCGTAAATCTCTTTACCACACAAAAAAGCGGCAAAAACATTAAGAACATCGGGAATTAGGCTGTCTGTTAGGACCCAGACGAAAATTGCATAGGATTGTAACATGTACTCTTACTTCAGTAAGCGGTTGTCAGTCCCGTTAGAACAGGCTTTATTCGTTTGATCAATGCAGTTACAACGTGACCAAACCGAAAATTCACAATGTCTGGATCAGACAAAACGCAACAATAAAAATGCTTTTCGTTATTTATTGTGGACTCATTGTGGAGGGAGAATGAAACCTGGAATTTAGGGCTAATGGAGGCAATGAAAATCAGATTATGTTGGTTTGAGGAGGTTCTGACAGAAAGAGGAAAGCATCTCACCGTATGGAATCGTTAAGTACTAACCAGAGCCGATGGAAAACCGTTGGCAATTGTTATGTTGATTTCTCACTGTTTTTAATGGCGTCACTTGAGAAAAAGTTTGCCCCAGTGTTTTTTTAACCTGATTTCATCTTCAGCTAAAATGTTAATGCAAACCAGGTAACGTAGTGCATTCATTTATTTCATATTCCATTTGGTTTCTAATGTGATATTGTGCTCCGTAGCACTGAAGGAAGGTCTGTAATATGGGAGATTACGCCGAAAAAATCAGTACTTTCTCGACTAAAATGCTTTTTAAGGTCGCATCAAGAGGCTACTTCCATCAGTAGCAGATTGTTTGAAAAATTCCAGCATACCCTTTTGAAGCATGATGGTTGGAGTGAATTAAGTAAACGAAGACAGCCCAAAACGGTACGGATGTATTTTCCCCCACGTTATTTTCACGTTGCTTTTCATATTCGCCGTCAGATGGGTGAGAGTAGAAGATCTGTTTCCCGAGTTAATTGCGGATCCGTTAATTAATGAAATTGGAAGGCATGTTAAATTTACGGTTTTAGCTCGCACTTTCAGGTCTTGGCGCCATCCCACACAGGCATTCATAAAGCAAGTGTTCTGTTTCACAACGGTACTATCCGGAGAACTACTTCATAATTTGATTGCCACAGAGGACAGGCAGGACAATACTGCCACCCTATCGATCGAAAGCTTTTGAGACTCTTACTTGTTCAGTGGTCTTTTTCTAGTTAAATAGAAATGACATCTTGGTAAGTTTACGTTTTTTAGGCTACCACACTTTGGTTACAAACCCTTGGAGTCGCTTATTGCCAATCGACAAGTTACGGAATATGGTGCCCCTCTGAGAATTCTGGCAATGGTAGTTAAGTTAGATGAGATGAGGAAAGGCGAATTGTTCCTAATTAGTTTGGGTCTATCGTCTGAGTGTTATGTCCTTATCCGTCGGAATAAGTTACCACACAGTCCTATCATCCGCGAATGTCGTTATATTCCCCTCGAAACTTTGAAGCGAGTGATGCACCTAGATGTCCGACAGTGAGGGCCCCAGTGCTGCTCAACGGGTACATTGGTTCCAAGTTTCCAAGGGTGTCCCCCCCACATTAAACTCATGTTGGCGACATTGCCGAAAGTCGAGAGAAAAGAATCGTTTTCATGGAGGAAGTTCTATCATGCCCTACTCTAACAAACTCATTGCCTGAATTTGGCATCCATTTGATGGTCTTGCTCAGCCAACTTGCTTCAGCATGCACGCTCTAGCAGGATTTGTTTGACATGAATTCGCATATTTTTGGTGCTTGCTTGCCTGGATGTGCGGATGCAGAAGTTGAACCATCAACCTTACCTTTTCCATCAATGATGTCAGGCCAAAAGTTCGACCCAAGTACGTCACATCTTTGCAGATCGGACAGTGGCTTGACACATAATTTTCGCGCAGCCAGCAACTTCCCTTTCTTCACTGAACGGTCGAAAGTTGAGACAAAGAACTAAAACACAAATAGTTGACAGTTGGTAGTGTCACTGAGTGGAACCCACAACGTCTAGAGAGTTTTTATCTGTAAAAAGTTAGCTGAATCTGAGTTACTCAGATCATGGTGCGGTGACAGATGTCCAAAAGGAGCAGACGATCACTCTTAATTGACACAGACACCTAGATAAAGTCCTCCTTTCATTCAGCAAGCACGATGTTCTAGAAGGTTTCACATTCCGTTTCGCGAAAACTTTGTCTTTACCGATGGATCGCTTGACGATTGATTGGTAAACACCACGTTACTGGTTTTGTTTTGACGTTTTTAACCACTTCTGTAGCGCGCCTACTGTTCCATGAAATGAATTTTGTTTTGATTATAAGCCTCGAAGACTTTCAAGCAACCGTAGCTATGTGATATACCATCTGCATCACATGGTCTGGAACACTACTACTACTTTTGTGGTTATGACCATTCTTTGGAAGCAAATCTTAAACTTTGAGAGACGAAAAATTGAATCCAACCAAATCCTTCGGTGCTTTTTCCCTGGATAATGAATGAGGTAGGATACGTTGGCGCGAACTGTTGTCAGTCTTCCAATGCCGGATGTGGGTGGTTCGCTAACACCACTAAAAAGCTTATCTTCAAGACGGAAACTGCCCTTCCTATGTGTATTAGGCTGTATTGATAATATCTTTTGCTGGATGTTCATTTTACTAGGTTCATCGTCACCAGAGTCCGCAGCATCAACCTTGACAGTGATGCTTCCCTGCCATAGGACTACAAAGTTTATTCAATTATATTCGAAGTCTCAAAATGTAGAGAAGAAAAAATAGTGGGTGAGGGAGGGACCTAAATCTATCTCATGAAAAGCACACTAAGTTGCTTACACATACAATTGCCAAATCAGACAGTCTGCGGAGAAACTCACAGGACTGAATCCATCGACATCAGTCAGCCGGCATTTCTTGAAGAGTTTTTAACCAAGCACAGAAGAGCACGGGGCCTTCGATCTGGAATGCTGGCCGCGCCACACCCGTCGCAAACTCTTCCAAACCCTTTGCCAAGTCCTACCTTGTCCACCTCACAATTTGCACCACTCCAAAGGAGGCAAGGGGAACATTTATTACCTTAGATGACATTTGAGCGTCCGTAAAATATGGCCCAACCACCGCGGCTGATGGTATTGGATGTTTCGCGACAGTGGACTAGCTGATGCACAACCAAATACTGTTTTTCAAACCTGCTGCTTTCAGTAGTAACCTTGTTCCGAGTTGGAAGGAGATAACTCATTGACAGCTCAATAGAGGATACGAAACTAAGCCTTCTGTTACCTACTTCAACAGCATAAAGTAAGCATATGGTGATTGGTTACTGCGAAAAACTCGCGCACGATGAGTCATATTCTTGTTGAACCTCGATATCAAGAGTCACTCTTTCAAGTCAAAATAGATTTCAGGCGCACCAAATGTCCCCAGGGAAACGGCCCCAGACGTCGTAAGATGTTGTTTCTACAGAAGTTCACTACGACTGCAGGAAACGTCAGATACTATTGAAGCCTTAACGGAAAACGGAAGCCAAACGTTCAGTGTCACATTTTGTGGTCTTCTGTATAGTTTTGATCAGTAACAGCAAATGTCTTCAGATTAATAGAATGAACGAAAATTTCTATATTGCGGCTCGTGAAAAAGAACTGACGTAGAAACAAGCGTGAAAATAAAAATGGAAAGCACAAGAAAATGCTTTCTCAGCTTACGGAGCCGTTTATCATGATTTGTTTGGGCTAAAATTTAAAAAAGTTCTGTTGAGAATCTGGTCGATTAAGTGTGAGGTAAATTATATTCATATATGGAGACATTTTATTGAATACCTTGTAAATTCAAAGAGAGGCCGAAAAGTTCCCCTTCACTTTTTTTCAGTAGCTTGCATAAATTTTCTCACTGTATCCGCATTGTTCTCGTTTGATCAATCATCCTCCTGTCCTTGAACGATTATTCCAGTCAGCCCATGCAATAGGTGCGACGCCTTTGGTCTGCATCAACTGTTCATCAACTGTTCTCAACCGTACTGGAACTTGAACTGCAGTCATCTGGCGAGATTTTTAGCACAAGTTTTGATCACTGCAGTTTCAACGCACCTGAATAGCAGTACTTATGTAGTCGAACGTATTCTTGTCCCATTAGTATATGCGACTATTCCCGATACCTCAGCAAACGGTTTAGCGATCGCCAATAGATAACTCATTTGTCATTCCATTTAATGAACATACCGTAGAAACACTGTAAATCACATAAGCAGG